TAAAGTTGCCGTAGATTGAGTTTAAAACACATTTTTTCACTTAAAAAAAATAATTCATGCTTAGAAACATGAAAATTAATAATATTTATGTATCAATTGATAATTTTAGGTGTGAAAATAGCAGCCATTTCACAGGCACTTTAATGACATTTTTACGTGGCGGCGATATTCCCACTTCTAAACACATCTATTTATTGATCGTTTTTATTGTTTAAAAAGACACCGAGCGCCAGTGATTTCATCAATGGGATGAACGCTGATGGTATAAATACTACAATCGGCCAACTACATTACAATGGGGTGGATTTAAAATTTTAAATAGAATCACCTTTGCTCGCTCGCATAAATACATTAATGATATATACACATACACTTGCCAGCTATGACCACGTATATCATACGTGTACTAGTATACTGGCGTCAAATTTGATCACAAAAGTGGTTACTATATAATGAAACGTATAACGTAACTTTCAATGCTAAAAACAGCAAACATGCATACCAAGCAAACATGCATACCCGGAAACATTAATAGTTTGAATCAACTAGGCACCATGCGAACACTGATCGTGATACAATTTTACAAGTTATAAACTTATATTGTTAACTTACGTGCGATCTAGTTGCAAAATGCGGTCAAATGTTCACACTGAGAACGACAAACCAGACGACTGCTGCTAATTACACATTGGGGTGTTTTTTTAAAAATCACATTCACTGTCTTCTTCGAAGCCCGCTCAACGGCTAAAATCTACACACAATTCGGTGACGTTCATAGCGTAATTGAATGACGTTTGAATGTTGGATCGCACCATTTCCAATATAGGGGATGCTGTAACAAAATGTAAATTGGGATTTTCACAGCATAAATCATCTATGGCGGACAATAGACAATAATACATATTGACAATCGGCAGACTGGATTATCATTAACATCGTTTTCACGTAAAAAAATACAAAAAACAGCATTACAAAAAAAGAAAATGAAACCCTATTTAAATGTCATGTGATATTGAGTTTGACCCAAGGTGTCACCTGACACTATCGTGTTTGACCTGGCTTATGTTTTGGTTAATTCTGCGTGGGTACATATATTTTAAAACGTTGGCTCCATATTGCGTGGAGTGGTGTTACATTTTGTCAAAATGACGACACAGACAAAGGTAATATATCTGAATCCAGCAAGCTCTTCGAAACATATTGTCGAAAATTGTATATTGCGAACCAAAGCCGTGAGCCACACGTGCACTGCGATTTGTTGTACTTTGAACTTTGAAACTCCTTCCTTGTATGATTAATAATCAGACCCCGGATCAGATATATATATATATATGTATTACCAAAAACGTTTGATGATTTTTTTTATCTTTATTTAGTATAAACATCTACTAGTATCCAGATACGTGTACTGAGATGGACACTCTGTGATTTATTTCAATATACTACATTTAATTCCTATTTCGAATAACCAGGGGCGTCGGTCCATTCTGAAAAGTGAGGAGGCCATTTTTGTGTCCGCGTAAGCGACCAATGTCCGCGCTTGCGCAAACAGGGGGGTGTCTGAGAAGGGGGGACTGCCCTATGTTCCGACACACAGTATACTTGTGTCAAACTTAATCTGACTAGCCGTGCGTGACCTTTTACTACCTTGATACACCGTCCCTCAACTGAGGGACGGTGCTTGATATAACCAGGATGTCCTGGAAAATACTGGAAATCCAACTGTAGTGTAGTCCGGCCATGATACTCGAAAGTCCATGAAGGCGGGATATTGCATGATGTTATCGGATAATTATCAAAGAAAGATGTTACCCATTGTATCATTCTAATACTTTGATAATTATTTGACAATATCCGTGTCTGTTGGATGTAGTTCCAACCTTAAATCCTCCGATTGCCTTAACTATCGAAGTTTTAGATCGATAATTATCAGAGAATTATTTTACGTTTTTTTATGAAAGTTGTACTTCGATATTCATCAGTCGCGGAATTGCAAGGTTGCCGTTTACATCCGATAGCACCTTTCCAAGTTTATCTACATATTGATTAAAATCATTTATTTATTTATTTATTATGCGAGAGATGAATAGGCACTGCATTTAGCATTCCGTAGTGTTTGCATAAGTTTAAAAATACCAAGGGATCACATTATCTCTTTCCATTCCTATATTGTATGTTTTCGGCCAACATTCCTTGTTTACCTCCACACGTTATACGTTTTCCTATCAATCTAAGACATTGACAGGTCTCAGAGATATTCATTTTATCATAGACAGGATTTGCCCAGAAAATTCCTTTTGATGATTTTGAATAACGTATAATAAAGTTAATGAATTCATATTTACCCTGATTTTTGGGGGCAAAACGGCTCAGATTCTACGGCCAAAATTGACCAAATTAATTCCCATGTTTCTGTCTATTTTATGGCATGTAAATTTGACAGCCTTGTCTTAATTTTAATTGTACAGTCAGTATTCCGTAACTAGACTGATCGCACTGAACAGAGAAAAAACATGCTGCTTTGTTCTACCATGGGGAGAGGTATTTATCCAATTTTGGCTTCCAACCACTAGCGTACATATTTCCATTGAAAATATGGCACATTCTGGCCGGCTCAGAATTTATTGGATGATCGTCGAACATAAAAGTACTAAACAATGTAATTTAGGTCTCCCCGAGTACAATTTGTCAGGGGCCCACATGAAGACTGTCAGGTACATAGTTTATTGTTGATCTGAACGTATGGCAATAATTAAAAAAATAAATATTTTGCGTCTGAAGCTTGATAGGATACATCGCGTCTGAGAATATTGCCAACGATGATCACAAAAACACCTCCATGAAAGCCCGTGGCAAGTATTATAATCCGGCATAGTTACGTAAAGAAATGTAACATTGTGTTACAAAAGGTGAGCATAGAATAATATTTGAAGAAGAATAATGATATTTTTTCTTATAGTAAAGAGATAAAAACGCAGTGAAATGTCAAAAACGTTTCTAAAATTTCGTAGGTGTCAGAATCTATTAGCATCTCAACATAGGGTTGTCGGAATATAGGAATGTCGGAACATAGGGGTATCGGAATATAGGGATGTCGGAACATAGGGGTGTCGGAATATAGGTGTGTAACCCCGAGGAGGGATGTGTCCCCCTCAGAAGGTAGAAATTTTTGAAAAATGCAACCAAAATGAAGTCATTTGGTGCATACTTGGGGATTTTCATTCTTGATCATTAAGAATACAGTACATGTACACAGAACCAAAGGCCTTACACAAACGCAGGCTTTGATATAAGTCTATTATTGATATTTGGGTAAGTCTGGAAAGTGGAGGGGACAGTTGATATTGTGTACCCCACCCTTCAGAAAGTGGAATGACGTGTCCCCCCCCATGATCGACGCCCCTGCGAATAACCAATTAAATGAGAGATGATATGATATGTATATTATATAATCCTGTCAGATTTCATACTTTAGACGTGATTCACACGCATTTCAGTCACATTTTGAAATATCTTGCATTCTTCTCAAATTCTCACACATTTTACAAATATTTATAACCATCGGAATTTATTCAGGAATTCAGTTATTATTTGCACAACAAAAGATGATTGGATGAATCTCAAAAACAACAATTTTATTTTCCACAAACTCAAACGACAGAATTTGTTTAAATGGTCAAAGATAAATCAAAATACTTGTTGTTAATTAATTAGTTTAGTTGATGCATGCTGGTAATTCCTCTAACAAGTTTTCATGATGACAGTATTTTCAATCAACTCATTAAATTTGCATTCAGTAGCTGTCTATGCATTGTAGAAGAAGTCACTAGCTGACTGTACATATGTTTATGTGCCTATGCCATGGAGGAGAGGTCACTATACCTACCGGTAGTCGTGATTTCATTTATGTGTCTATGCATTGTAGGAGAGGTCTTGAACACCTGGGAAAGCACTTCATTTTCTAGGCTTATTTATTTAGATAAAACTGGGCAAGGTATCAAATTAGTTGTCTTTCATTGTAGTAGATTCAAATGAAATTTCTATTTGTGTAACTACATGATTTACCTCAATTCCTGATGTATCAAATCATAATACAATTGTGTCTTTTTAAAACTAGATGGAATTTGCTGTCCAGATGACATGTCAGCATTGTGTAGATTCAATCAAATCAAAACTGCAGAGTGTGAACGGTAAGCTAACTTTTGGTGTTATGATGAATGATTGAATGTCAACGTATTTCATGACTTCCTTGCATCTGAAGTGTCATATGTTTCTTTATTTCAATACAGATATAAAGGTTTTGGAGATCAACTTGGCTGATGAGAGAGTTATACTACAAACATCACTTCCTTCAAGTCAAGTCTTAGAGGTAATAGAAGACACTGGCAAAAGAGCTGTGTTGATTGGACATGGTTCAGCAAGCTCAGCCATAGGTAGGTAAAGTCATTCATATTTGATACAGCCTTCAGTTACTGTTGAAACTTAAATTATGGTAGAGATGCATGTTTGTGGGCACTTGGGAGTGAATTTTTTTTTTTTTTTTGGCTTTTTATTATCCAAACAGTCTTGGCTATAGACTGTTAACATTTTGTAAGAATTGTGAATAGTGGAACATACTCAAAAAACGATTTTAAAATATAGATAACAGGTGCAAACATTCTCCTATTTGAATGCTTAGCAAGATTTAGCAAGGCTGTACATAAATAATAAAAAAGATACATGGTGAAAAAAAGAAATGACGAAGATCTCCATATTATGCACTATATTTAACTTTTAACAAAACGATAATACATTTAAATTTGGAACTGTTACAGCCATTTTAATTATGAGCATTAGCAAACTTCTTACTGAGTGAATTGTCATGCAAATTAGCAATTATCTCAGCTTCTTTTTAGTGCACATCCCAGAACTTTAACAAAAAATAGCTCCTAGACGCTTTGACCTTTTGTTTTGAAATTTTCACAAATGATTGACAATGTGTTTATCTTCAAAACGCCGTCGGGGCATTGTTTTTGGTTGAACAGT